AAATATGGTGAGGAATCGATTATTTATTTAGCGGGTTTAAGGTAATTTAAGATTTGGAAAGTTAAAGATGTTTAAATACGAAATAATATGGTTTATTTAATAAGATTTTGTTTATTACAATCGATAACTGACATTTAGGAAGGCTAAGAGGATACAATTACGTTCCTATAAGAACTAATCTTGCTATTTTCTTTATTCCCGATGTCCTATAACGTATACGTTTTACTATCTAAAGAGCATAGTATCGCGTATACATTTCGATGGAGTGTTCAATGTACTATGTAGATCAAACATATGTATAGTCTCATAGTAAAAATTACTAGTAAATTTTTTTGTGTAACGAAGACAATGATTTATGGTAAAAAACCTAAATTTTGACAAATTTTTATCAAATTCTTTACAAATTTAATATGGTTTTAAAAAAAGCGCTTTTTTTTTCTAAAATATAGGGTCTGCTGAGAAATCGAGTAAAATTTTTAAAGAAGTTAATATGTAAATTATTGAGGAGATACAGTTTGAACTCCAGTAAATTTTAATAGTGTTTTTATAAGAATATGTTATTTTCAAACTGTATCTCCTCAATATTTTACATATTAATTTTTTTAGAAATTTTATTCAATTGCTCAGTAGACTCTATATTTTAGACAAAAAGAGCGCTTTTTTAAAATTTTTTTTTAATTAAAATTTTATTTAGTTTTAAATTTTTAAAAAATGTTTAATATTGTTATATCATCACGCAGGTGACAATTTACTAATAACATATATCTGCGTCTAATTAAATGCTAAATCTAACCCTATGTGATACTGATTTACTGTACTACGATGCATCACAATTAGCTAATGATCAAGCCACCCAAACGAATAATAAAATATATAAACAACCTGCTTTTTTTTTAATTCTATTTTTCTATTTTGTTACATAAAATTCAAAATTCCAAATTTGCGCAACCTAAATATTCAAATATATTTAATTAAAAATAAAAAATTAGTAATTCAAAAATTTAGATTTATACCTATCTAAGCGTTCGTTATCTGCTTTTTCGAATGCTTGATCCCTTTTAATATCGTCTAATTTAGGTGTTTTATCCCTTTTAATATCGTCCAATTCAGGTGTTTTATCTCTTTTAATATTTTCTAATTTAGTTTGTTCTTTTTCTATACTTTGGTTAAATGCATTAACACGTCTTCGATATTCTTTATATATTTCG